TATAAAAATACTTATATATCTGGACACACACATGACTCACCCTGTATTATATTATTCAAAAAAATTAAACATTTACAAGTAAATTTTAAATGGTTGCGTGATTATAAAATTGAGGCTAGCCATTCAAACAGAAATATGTCATGTGAGTATGTATGTAAATATCAAACATACATATTTTTTGTAACTATTAAAAAAATAAAATATTCAAAATATCAAAATTTAAGGACAAAAGGACATAAGAATACCAAGATAAAAATGAATTGATAGCTTTACTAGTTAGTTGAATACACGCCCAAACCTTATTAATTTTCGTTCTTTGTTTTTCTTTTTCAATATTAATGAAATAAATTATATAAAAATGAATTTTTTTTATACATTTGTTGATTCATTCAAATCGAAATTCATTCACAAAACTAAAAGAAAAACAATAAAAATAATCTATGAATTTCCATTGTTATTTTGTTCGATTTATTTATACGCTTTATTTATTAAAAACATACACGTATACATGTACTTAAAACATGTATACATTAAGGATACGTATATACCGAAAATATTGAGAAAATGTTAGTGACCCCTACTTCTTCCAACAAAACTTCTCTCATTACATTAGTTTGAATCCTCTTGAGTAGAAATTTCAAGAATTTTCACATTATTTTCATCTTTTACTTGGAAAAGAATTCAAATTAATTTATTTTTGATGATACAAGAAATGCACTCTGTTATATAATGTGTTCTTTATTTCTAAATCACTGTACACTAGAGTAGCGACATTCGTAAATTTTATATGTTAAATTATGTCAATTCCATTCTATAATACAGGACGTCATCCAAACTTCCAATTTTGATGCAAGAATTTTCTCCAAGAAACATTATTGCTTAAATTTTTGGAAAATTTAATTCTAAATTTATTAATGTTAAATATCTAAAATACTTTATTAATGATTTGATTTCAATTTTTTGCTTAACATTTGCTTAACAAATTGGTAACGTACATATTTGTTATCAAAATGAAAATCGGAACATCAGTTTCTTTTTAACATTACAAAACATCATTAATTTGCAATTTCTACTCAATATGCATTGCATTGAGATCCAAAAGCTGGGAAAGAATAAAAATAAAAACGTCTTTCTCACTTTTGACTAGTTTTTGCTCAATTGCGTTGATTTTTATAAAACTTTCTCCGTTTCCTAAATTTTCGTCTCACATGTCAAATTTTTTTTTGAGAAATTTATTGTATCTCAATCTACTTCTAACAAAAATATTTTTTTTATAGAATCATTAATTATGAAATATAAATAAATAACAACAAATTTAATTTTTGGGAGATTAAAGAGAAAAATTTAAATAATATTTTAATAACTTATTTTTATACTTTTAAATAAATCGAATATACGTATACATATGTTAAAACATAATCTAAAAATAACAAATCAAATTAATTATATTGAAATTTCAATTAAATTACTTTAAACAGCGTAAATTTAAGAAAATAAGAAAATATCCTTTACAAAATTGTAAAGGACTCAGTTTTTTTTCGCATTTTTTGCTATTTGTTTAGTTTCAATCATTTCTTTTACATTTAAGTAATTTTTGCGAAATAGACATGTACATTTGGTTTCAATAAAAAAAAAATTAAATCGGATATTTTTCAACTCACAAAAATTGAAAGAAGCGTCAAAATCAGAAGTCATTTTGAAAAGTTTTTTTTTTATGAAATCGCAGAATTTAAAATTATTTTAAAAATTTAGTATGTAATCAAATTGAAGTAAATTTTCAATATAATAAAACCACAACATAAAACAATTAACACTTACTTATACATAAGTGTATGTAGACAATACAAAATTATTTTTTTGTCCATACATACTACATATTGTATAAAAATTCACAAATTTTCAATTTAATAAATCAAATTTGGGAAGAAAGTACATTATTTTATGTAAGTACTTTATGAAAGTACTTTTTATCCTTCTTATTTTTATATTTTCCTCATGTTCACTGCCACAACACAATTCCATTTACCACCACACAATAAGTCTACAGTAGTCGAAATCATATTTTCTAAATACACTTAGATTCATTTTAGAAATAAAAATTATTAAGATACCATAATTTACTTAAAATTTAAAAAGAAAATAATAGACGAATGCCTAGAGCTAAAGCTTTCTCGAGATAATTTATTGTAGTTTTCTAAGGAAAAAAATGTTTGTGTGATGGCGAAACTTGGATGTCTAAGACCAACTATTATAAATATTTGTCAGAAAGAATTTTTTAATCTAATTTGCTTTAACCCTCCAACACTAATCCCAACCACCCCCCGTCCCTCCCCCCTTTTAAGTTCAAGGAATCCCGCCATGAGAGTTGTATCATCGCTTCCACATAATCCTGCATTCCACAAATTATTATACTATTATGATATTCACTGTGTTTACTTCTTTGAATAATTACAAATGATATTTTGTTTTGCCTTTTACAGCAATGACTTTTGATTGCCGAATTTTTCCGTTCGTTATTTTGTCAAATATTCGAAATTGTTCTATTCAGCTATATATTCAATACACAAACAAGGTTATTAACCCTACCAATCAAGCATCTTAATTACTTTTATAAATATCTTTTTAATTAATATCTTTTAAGGTTTATAGTTTTTTTTTAAATTTTCCACGCATGAATTTAAACTTTATTACCAACCGACATATAGATTAACCTATTCAACAGATTCTGCAAGAATTTGAAATATTCAAATGGTGAATACTCTTTCATAAAATAAAATTAAACAAAATTTTTTGGGTGCATCGTTTGCGTTTCTATTGCGTATAAAACTATATTTGGATTCTATAAACATTTGCCATAGAAAACTTTTAGTGTGCAGTGTGAAATTTAAAACTTGGTAGTGAAACATAGAACACAAGGTATTTATTTTACCGATGAATTCGGCGATTTCAAATAAAAGGCTGATAACAATTGGAGTTCGTTTGAACGAATGATTGACAATAATTGTTATTTGATCTTTTTCGACGACATGCACTATCTTTTGAAATTCCTTTGAAGTTCATCTGAAACAGTAATCAACATTTAAAAATTTTTGGGGTTATAAAGTAACAAAGCAGAAGATTATTACTCGTATTTGAACTTGAAAAATAAAATTTTGAAAACCAACATGTTACTATAGACTATGGTTTACAAAGTCATAAAGAGTAAATATATTTTTAATAGAATTTAAAAGCAAACTTAATTACAAACATGGCGAATGCTTTTGATTTTTTATTATAATCCAATTTCTCAACAATTTTCATATTTTTTATGTTTTCAAAACAGTATTTTATGCAAATGTAACAAAATTCAAAAAAAAATTTATATGTACTTATGTATGTGCATACATATGCCCAGCGTGCATATTTATTAGTTTCACAAATCTCTTTTGTTATACATATATGTATGTACTTATACATATTGTACATATTATATAGGAAAATTGAAAAAAAAATATCATTTTTCAATGCTAAAACAAAGTGAGTCCTGCACTAAAGCCTACACATCATTAGCAAAAATTATATCGAAAACTTTCGTTAAGACATCCTTTTTTATCAGCAAAAAAATAAATAAATAAATTTATAATACTTTTTTTTTCAATCTTATTCTTCGAAAATTTTCAAGGTAGGCACGCATTTTATGATAAAAAAATATACAATACAAACTTTTCACTGTTTTTATCCATATGCATATACATATTACATAATTGCATGTTATATATCTACATATATTTGAATATTCGAAATATAGTGATTTATTAATTTTGTCAGTTACGCTCAAAATGTAATAAAAATTGCATTACATATTTTTAAACATTTTCAACCAATGAAACTTAAAAGTGTGTTCACCTTTAAATCAACAATGAATTTTTTTTTAATTAAAACACTTTATAAGACTTTATATAAGTACGAAGGATTAGCGTTTGCAGTCTAATTTGTCTGAGCAACTAGACTAAGCAAAGGGCAATTTAAACCAAATTAAGATTTTCTTACGTTTTTGTGAATAAGGATGAAGATTTTAGGGAATTTTATTTTGATTGAGCTGAGCTTTGCCGTATAGGCTGATAAGTCTGAATAGTTTTAAGAGAGAAGGTGAAAAAACACAGAGACAAATGGAGACTCGTTCTAAAAACATGATTTTTTTAATCACAAATGCCAGTTCAGGTTTTTAAAATTCAAATAAAGATTTTCTCATAAAACTATTTATGTTGTGTTTTTAAAAAAATTTCTCATAACTAAAACGTTCTGATAACTAATTTTGATATGGCCAATGAAGTTATTAAAACGTTTATTATTTACTATGTAGTGTAATCTTAAATCGACCATAAATTTAGACACAGGTAGGTAAGAAGGTACGCTACTATTTCTTTTTAAATCCACGTTCATACACATTTACGTCCACTTAATAATATATTCTGAATCTAGTGCAATAATATTTTAATATTTAATATTAATAAATCTTAATAATAAGATTAAAGATTTATTTAAGTATTAATAATACTAAATTTTAATAATAAAAATCTTAATATTTTTAATAGTACATTATGAAAACTCGGCTAAGGAAAATGGTAACAAAGTATTTATTACTGTCTTGTTTAGAAAAGCCGTAATAATACGTAAATATGTATATAGAAATGAGTCTGTTCGTAACAAAATGTATGTAGAGTATGTACAATCTTTCTCCCAAAATCTTTGAAAAAGTTTTTTAAGAAAAAATTTGAAGAGCGCTGATCTTGAAATAACTAACAGGCACTCATATTACGTATGTATAAATCTCATTTATACATTTGGGTGGGTGTGTATGCACATTTATACTAAATATAATAAAGTATGTATGATTATACAGAATAAATTTCTATGTATGTATATGCATTTACAATCTGTAGAAAAAAAAAACATTATGGAATAGTAAAAAAAAATTATATATAAATTTTATTTAAAATTAATTGCAATTAGATAGTTACTTATTGATTTTTTTCTCATAGTAGTTTTTTTATATTTTAAATTTTATTTTAATTGATATTACTTATTAAATTTTATGGTTTTGATTTTTATTTTTTTATTTTCATAAACTTAAATTTCCATAGCGAATTTCTTGGTTTTATTTTTAATATGATTCTGATTAGACTTGTAAAACTATAATTAAACGCTGAATGTAGTGTTTTCGTTAGTAAAATGTTGCACAAAAAAGATTTCTTGTCATAGTAAAATTTTCAATATTTTAAATATCACATAATGTAAAATTTTTTTTTAAAAAAATAAAAAAAAACACACATATTACACATATGTATGTATGCTTATATGTATGCACTAAGAAAAAAAATTAATATTTATATTGTCTTATTTCATTATTAAAACTTCAATTAACTTATTCTACAACAAAAAAAAATTTTTTTTAAATTAAAGTGAAAAAAAATAAAAATTTGTTTCAAATTATTTCTTAATTTTCTTATTTGAGAAGCGCCTTTTAAAAAACAACCATCACCGACGCCATATTGATGCGACTAACAAGAATCAAAAATTTCTTTCATTCTGGTTTCTTTTTCTCATATTCCTATCTTTTACATTCGTTAGGTTTCGATCCGATGGGAATGAGATACTAAACTAATAGGCTGTCGCTTCGCTATAGGCAAGACTTTATATTCATATGAATGAAACAAATCGTTTTGTGTTGTGAATGGAACAAAAATGAAACTTAATTTCTAGTTTTTGCTATTCACAATTAACATTGGATATTGTGATTTTTTCATAATTTTATGTGTACGTACCACAGACATCTTTATATAGATACATTGTAGGAGTTTATGGTACGTACCCTTCTTCTACACATCAAACATTAAGTATGCCCGAATTTTTGTTTGATTTGACAAAAATTTTATGAATAAATCAAATTTTTAATATTAAGTTTTGCTCGATGTAAAAAAGGTTGAAATCAAAGAAAGTTTTATTGAATAATGCGAACTAAAATTTAAATTCTAGGACATTATTAATTTTATTATTGTTAATTTTTAATATTGAAAATTTGAAAGAAGGAATTATGCTATAAATTTAAATACTATTTTTTATTTTAAATTTAATTATTTTTAATAAAACATGAGAAACAGATTCAATTTTATTTTATATTTATCAAACACAAATCTCTGAGAGTCACGGACACTTAGTCCATTTTTGGTCGATAAGTTAATGGAAAAATTTCCAGAAATATTAGCTTTTTTCCAAAAATATTGTTCAAATACAACGTTAATTATTAATTATATTTTATAATTTAAATAAAATTTTAAAAGATATGAAATCATATCATTTTGTCAGTTTAAATGATTATTAAAACTTTTTATATAAAGTTTATACTTTATAATTCTTTTCAGTTACTTTAACATGTTTTGAAAATTTTGAGGCTTTAATAAAAAATATATAAAAATTTATTGCTAAAAATACTAAAAAAAACTAAGCTGGTATAAAAATAAAGGTTCTTAAGTAAGCGCATATTCTATTGCAAAGCATTTTCATTAGTAAATTACATATTTACTTTTTGAGTTAGAATTTAAGTAAAGGTGTTAAAGAAAGCACATATTATTTTATAGTCAAATTTATTTATTGTTTACTCAATTTTTATTTGTTAAATAAATTTCAGGCAACGTTTACACTTTTCAATTTAAAATATTGTATACAAGATCAATTATAATAACAAACTCATTTTTTTTTATGGAAACGAGTCCGTTTAATAATAACCATGTACAATAGCACAGTACAATATTTTTAAATAAAAAACATCTCCATATACATTTTATATTTGTACTCGCGTAATAAAAACCCCGCATTATAGAACCTCCTCAACTCAAAATTTTAAAATTCTCATTGAGTGAAATTAGAAATTTTGTTTCCAAAAAAAAAAAGCTTAGCTTTCAGTTTCTGAAATGTTTCATTTCAAATTTTCACCAAACAAATTTTCGATTCGCTACTAGCAAGTGATATACACTAAAATTATACACATAGTATTCATTATTGCAATTTCAACTACGTGTATGTATGTCAATATATTCAAAAACTTTGTTATACACTTACTGTTAAAAATTAACAATTTTCTTGTTGAACCTAATCGTCTTATAGGACTTTTAATTTCTTCATGTTCATCCATCATATTAAATATCTGAAACAATAAATAAGACAAAGATTTATTCAATACTTTTAAACAAATAACAAATTTTAGAATAAAAATATTAGAGCAAATACAAAAATATGTGTACAAATACCGATTTTCAGTTAATATATATATAGTTATAGGTATAAATATATGTACATATGAATAGCTACGTATAATTCCTACATAAGTATTTCTGTGTGTTTTTAATTTTGTTTTTGAGCTAAATATGTACATATATACACATATTGTAAGTTCCAAAAATATTAGTATTACAATGCTGGTATTAATTTAAAATATTTTTTCGTGTAATTCATGTTAAGCTACACAACAAAAATTGTGTTTATCGCCGTCGCAATGATCCTTATTTAACATTTGTATCATTAATACAAACGCATGAATGTTAAATGATATTGTTATTGCTACAAAAAAAGAAAAAAATTAATAGCGTTTGTTCCATCTCTGTTTACTTTCTCTTAAAAATATAAAATAAAATCAAAGACAAGGTGTAAAATATCAAAATTAATATATTATGTATGTAGGTATATATTTAGGAGAACTATAAGAACTTTTAACGATATACATATATATGTATGTTTGTAAAAGATATCGTAAACAAAATACATATACTACATATACTTATGTATGTATGTATATAAAAAATTTTATTATTAAAACTTGAAATTTTTTTAAGGAAATTTATAATAATGTGGATGCATGAAATCTATTTACACACGTGCATATTTACACAGATTTACCGTAATGCCTCGTAATATTTTGTTTTATATATCTACCTAATATGATAATTGAAACTTGTGAATTTATTATACATACGATGCGAATGATATGAAATATTCGTACCAGTTTGTTTATTAAAGTTATCACTCAGAAAAAATCAATTAGATATACAGAAATTCGAACTCTTTAAAATTTTAATACTATTTTCTCACTTCAGTCATTAAAACCTCGCTTCAAGCCATTTTTTCTTTATGAATTAAAGGCGAAAATTACGGGTATCAAAAACGAATCTAAGCGAGAGATTACTGTATATACATACATATATATAATGCAAATACATATTTAATTATATCATTCAATTCTTTTGTTTATAATAGCTCCACAAACTTATTCATTTAATCTTTCATTTCATTCGATGTTTAAAATTGCTTCAATTATCATGATTATTTATTCAACTTTTTGTAATATTCACATATTAAACAAAGTTAACAAACCAAATATTTAAGATTTGAAAAAATTGAAGAAAAAAAACAGCACTAAAATTTTTCAAAGCCTTTAGTTAATTGCGCAACTTTGATTTTACTCATAATCAATAATAAAAATTGAAAGACAGCCTGCCGCAAACGAATAACATCAGACTGATATTCTTGCTTATCACCATGCTTGTTTAAAAAAAGAATCAATGAACTCAAGGGTACTTTTTTTAAAAATTCAAAATAATTGTCATTTTTTCGTTAATAAATACGTTTTTCTAAAAGCCCAGTAAAATTGCTTCTACGTCAGGAAATTGCAATTGTCATAAAAATGTCATTCTATTCCAAATCAGATTTGAATATTTTTTACTCTTTTAACCCAATACCGCATAGTTCTCGTCGTCAATTGAAATAAACTGAGAGACCCAATTACATATGTATATATGTATGTAATAGAGAATAAACCAATGTTCAACATAAGTCGTGGCAACCCCAGGCAGAGATAGTAAGAATCGTAGTAAGCATATGTATGTACATATATAAGTACCTTGTAATTTAATATGTTCCTGCAAAAATGGTCTTAATTTCTTTCATTTCGATGACCATGGACCATTAAGTTCTTTTTTTAAGCTTTACATTTGCACAGTATATGTGCAGGATAACAGTTCAACATAACTATAATGCCTTGGTGTAATGCAACAGCACTGATGATAGAATATATACATATGTATGTAAGTATGTATGAGTATACATATGTATGAACATCGTCTATCATGTGTATATAATATGTTTCCAGATTAGGACTCTTTTTTTTTTTAAAGTATTAAAATCTGATTCTTCTAATTGATTCGATATACAATTTATAACTTACCAAATAAATTTATTGAAAGAATCAAACTTGGAGGAAAGAATAAACAAATTAAAAAGGATTTAAACTCCATGCTTACCTTTTCCATTTTCTTTTTTCATTTAACAAGAACGCGCAATTTATGTATTTCTAAACATACATATATAGATGTTTAAATATTTCAACTTAGTTAATTTTAATTCTATTTAAAACTATATGTAAATGTAACGCAAAACTAAACTATTTACAAAAATTTTATAAAATTTATATTAGGTGCAATAAGTTTTATATTCACTTAGCTTATTTTCTTTAAAATCTAAATAAAACCAATACAACACAACTGAAACATCGTAAAAGTGAAACTGATCTTTTACGCAATTTGGTATTGCCGTTTTATGATTTGAAAATGTAGACTTATTTGATATATTTAATATATCATATAATTATTAGAGCTATAAATTAAATTCATTTATCTTAACGTGATAAAAATAAAGATCTGGACATTATTTCTTTGTATATTTATGTATGTATGTACATTATTTACCTAATGTTTCATATACATATGTACATATTTTTCATTTCATCGATTTTGAAAGAATTTGTAGAAGCCTGATTATTTTTTATAAAAATAAATTTTAATTTTTTGAATAACATAATTTATGAATATGTTAATATGTTGTTCTACAATTAAATGGTTTAAAAATCAAATTACTGTTATTTTGGTTTACAGAAGCGAAAAGAGACAGATCTAACTCCATATGAACGCTTGCATTTTAAAAGAGTATCATTTCTATTTTTAGGCGAAATTTCATTCTGTTTTCACTAACTGGGTTACTTACCTGCATTCATGTCATGTTGAATTACATGTTCGCACTCAAAAATGCATTTTTATATTAAACATTCAAAGAGATTTAAGTAATTTTCACTGTTGCTGAATCCATTTGTACATCAAGCTGACAGGTCTTTTTTATGTCAAAATTTTTACATGAAATAGAAAGTAAATTAATTAAATACATATTAACATCCACACATATTATAAGTATGGCTATATGCATACGCATGTATGTATGAATATAAGTATTTGTTTGCTTAGCAAATTGAGTTTACTCCGTCATTATTTTGCTCAATGAATGACGTGCCTTATTTAATAGAGCAATGAAAGTGTCGATGCAAAGGTAAGAGCGGTTTCATTCTAGTTCTAGTATTTAAGTCGAATTTAAAATCTAGTATAATAAATACGAAAATTGATCTGTTTTTGACTAAAAGAAATTTGCAGAACATTATGTTACATACAAATTTAGAGTAAAAATAAGTACATGTACAAATAGTATTGTATATAATGTTTCGTATTTACATTATACATATGAATGTACATGTGTAATGAATGTGCATATGAAATGAATGCTTCTACAAAGATTACATTTATAATTTCTTGAAATACTTTTATCATTTTCACGCATTAAAAGTCTGAGGCGGCAAATTCTCAAAGCGCAATTACTCAAAACAGTAGTTGGTCACTTTAGAACCTTAGAATTCTAAACCAGCGGTATATGTACATATGCATTTATGTATATACGAGTACATAGGATCTTTTGTACGACGCATAGGATCCTTTGTGATTCTCATTCCCACCTACATTAACAATATATGTAGGCCCTTGTCAAAGTCCATTATAGCAGCCACCTCAAATCGCGAGACTTCCATCGGGGTCACAAAGCCCCCGTTAAGGACCTCAGTCGTAGGTGAACCAGCGCTTCGCATGCACACAATATATACTCCGCCGTTTCGTCCTCTTTCAGGCAAAGACGAGGGACCTCACCCTCCACCTTGTTATCCCTTCAGTTGGTTTAATATTGTCATTTACTTGAGGAAAACCTAAAATGCAGAATTCCACCGATTATCGGTAAAATATAATAGAGGCGGATGGTTTCACGGCGGAAATTTCTTATAAACATGACATTGTCCGCCCTGAAAAAAGGACTCAAAAATTTGAAGAAACAAGCTTATATTATTCGTGCTACTTCTGTTATTTATTATAATAAATAAAACAACATACAGTTTTTATTGCAATATGTTATTTGAATTTCAGCCATTTCCGAGTAATTTAGAAAAAAATCTATAAAAAATCATAAAAAGATAATGGTTTTCATTTTTTTTAATTTGAATCTTCTATCAATAATGTGAATAATTAACTAAATGCAATGAATCCTAATTTCATATTTTAAGCAAGTGACAAAATTTCTTTTTTATTTATGTTTTAAATATGTTTTTTGTTGAGTTTAGTTTTAGTAAATATATTATTTAAAAATTCAAATTGCCCTTAAAACCACAAAAATTCGACGTGTGGCAAATAAAAATCATTTTATACATAATTTCCTTCTTATTTTAAAGCGATAAATTCTTCATCAATGTTGATTGCTACATTTAGCTCACAATTGGTAAAATTAACACATACACCCACCTTCGGAATCCTGAAAAACAGAATCGATTTATTTCTGAATCTTAACGATAATTAATTAATAAATAAATACCTGTTGTTGACCTGAAGATGGCTGAGTTTGCAAATCGACGGCTTTTTTTAAATAAAAATTAAGGAAAATTAAATTTTTAAAAGATATTTGCGGAATAAAAGTTATAACAGAAAATATATACAGCTTTAGAAAACAAAATGTACAACATACAAACTGTATATTAAAAATATTAGGATTTAATATACATACATTAAGATTTTAAAAATCAATTTTATATTTAAGAACGCTGTAACAAATTTAACTTTTTTTAAATATTTGGCAGTTGATCGCAAGTTTAGTTTAAATGATAACGATGCTTTCCAGCTTCCAACAAGCTTTGCACACATGCAAGATGTACTCATTGTACTCATTTGTACAAATAAGTACACAAGAATAAATTCGTAAAGTAAACTAAGAGAAATAAATCATGCAAAGCATGCAGAGTAGCTTCTAACGTAGTATAGAATAATTATAAACATAGTTTTAGGACAAATTAATAATTTACTGAAATATTACATCTGTGTTTCAGTTTCAAACCAAAAAGTAAAATAAAATTATTAATATAAAATTGCAGAAAATAAACTTTTTATTGTTATAATAATATAAATAAAATTGTTAACCTTATATTTAACTAAAATTATAATAAGTAATTATGTTTTATATAACTTTTAAAATGCAGTTTGATTCTAATGGGTGTTATTATTTGAAATAATTTGGAAATTTTAATTTCTATTATGATTGTGTTTAGTTTTACAACTGTCTTTTGATTTTAATTGAAATGTAATTGTCTTTACTATCATACTTTTTTTTTAATTAATACTAATATATAATATAATACTCGTATTGTAAAATTTTTTGAATTACAAATAAAGTAATATAAAGTATGATGAAAAAATTTTAAGTAAAATATCCGGCTTTATACAACCATAATAGAATTGAAAAACATATAGAACTCACGTAAAAATTTAAGAATATACAAATTGTGAAACGAAAATTCCTATTACAAATTTATTTTACGTTTTTTTTTTTCATTAAATAACCACATACTAAAATTAGTGTACATTATTGCTAAGATTAAGAAATTTTGTTTTCAATGATCAACTATGTTTGGACATTTTTTTATTTGATCTAAAAAATTAAAGTAATGTATTTTAAAAATTTCAATGAAAGTCATCGAGTCAACGATTATATACCCGCATAATTCCTTCATTTTCATTCAAATTTCAATAATCACTTCTAGCATGCACAGCCTCCCTCTGGATCCTTTGTTTCATAAGATGTATCTTTTAAAATAACTTCTTGCACTGAAGAAACATAAAAATAAAAAAAAAACAACAAAAAAACAAAAAAGCACGAGAAATAATATTAAGGAAAATTAAATATTTAAATAAGTCAAAAAGAAATTCAAATAAAAAGTTTCAATTAATGAATTTTTAAAAATTGAAAAAATTTCTACCGTTTTATAAACCAAAATACTTAGCTAAATTAATTTTTTTTGTAATTACAAATATACTAAAACTCTGAATTTGTGTACTTAATTTCTACCTTAGAAAAATACTATATTTAAAATAAGTGTTTTATATTATAATAAACTCTTTATATTTATATCATCATTATATTATACCATCATACTTTTATTTTTAGCTAAATATTAGGAAAAAATATTAAAATGATACTTAAATTATCTTATACTTCTATAAAATTGTATAATAAAATTATACCGCATGGATGTAATAAATAATGATAAAATTACTATAGCCAATAAATCTAATACTAATCTAATACTGAAAATTTTGGCTTTTTGCTTATATTCTTCTATGTGTAATAAGTGCAAAGGTATTAAATTCCATTGATTGCCAGATAGGACAAAAAAGAAAAAAACAGTGAAACTTTACAGAAAAAATAAAAATTATGCCAAATAAATAATGAAAGTAAACTGCTTATCAAAAGTTTAAATAAAGCAAAATGAAATTAACTAAAATAAGCGATATAGCGAATTACATGCCAAATCATACTGTTTTTAGATAACAGACTGGCATTGTTTTGAAATTATAAAGTTTCTATTCTCCCATTTGTTAGATAATTTATTTACAAGAGCAATTATATGCAAAAATAATTAAGCAAGTATCATTGTCTACAAAATAAAAAAACACTTGATGATATTCTCAATATTGATAACTTTTTGTAAGGAATAGCAAGCGTTAAAAAACAGCGAACATAATGAAATTTTGTTTTTCAAAAATTGAAGAACGTTTTTTTTAAAAAGGATACTGTCTTCTGGCGGTTTGTTTTCTGTAGAATCCATTCCAGGTAAAGCTGCTGCTACTCTTCTAAATAACTAAAAAACGTGAGAATAAGATATCATTGAAAATTTCCAAAAATTATATATTTGAGAAACCTACTTGTTTAACATTATATCCAGCTTTCGCACTGGTTTCTATGAACATAACGTTTAATTCTTTAGCCTTCCTCTCACCTTCTTCAGTCGAAACTTGACGCTTATCTGATAAATCAGTTTTATTACCAACTAACATAATGATAACATCACTACCACGTTCAGTTCTAACATCATCAATCCACTTAGATGTTTGATGGTATGAATTGGCATCTTTAATAAATCAAATAATATTAAAATTTTATTGTATTTATACATAGATTTATTTTTAACACACTTGTAATGTCATAAACGACCACAGCTACAGTTGAATCACGAATGTATGAAGGAATTAATGAACGAAATCTTTCTTGACCTGCAGTGTCCCATAATTGTAATCTTACAGTGCGATCTTCTAAGTACATAGTTTTTGAAAGAAAATCTATACCGATTGTAGCCTAAATTTTATTATTGGTTATTTTCGTTTGCTTGATAAAATGAATTGCACTTTACCTGATACGTATTGTCAAAGCTATCATACATGAATCGGGTTATCAACGATGTTTTGCCAACTACAAAAAAAATTCAATTAGTAAATAAATAACTAAATGATAAGAGTGATTAATTTTTATTTAAACTAATCTAAAGAAAGTGCCACATTACACATAATTGTTTTGTGTTTAACCAAATACATATTAGATACAGGAATAAAACGTATAAAAAGCTATGAATAAATAAACATATATATGTATAATTGTAGTTTAGTTCATTAATTCAATAAAACTTTTATCTATTTATATCATATTTGCATATCAGAATTAAACAAAAACTTTAAAATATCCACACAATAAGAATATGGAAATTTAAGTGGTTTTGAATAAGAATAAATCTAAATATTATGTATATTTACAATATTGTTGAGGTTCTTTAAAAATAATACCACGAATTGGAAAATAGAATTTGCATAACATAAAAATTTTTTAAAGAATTTGAAATAGGTCAGTCTGCAACTTTAATCAATATGCAATCTAAGTAAGTTATGTATCGAAGTCGTTCCAATCCGAGCTCAAGTGCTTGGGTGTTCATTACACTTTTATGTTTAATAGCCCTTCTTAATATTTTTCGACTACCTACATTTGAGAATGTTAATTTTATATAACCCAATATCTCTCTAGAAGTACATCATACCGATCAATATAATTTTTGTCAAAAATATTTTATGTTAAGAAATTAAAAATTTTTTATAAATGGTATTATTCATATCACAGTTTAATGACGAGTCTGAATTTGGAAAATTTTGTATATTTTATTTACATTTTTATAGACGAAATGAGTAATCTAAATAAATATTAGAACAGGGCATGTCTAATAATCTATTCCTTACTTTATAAAGTCCTTAACAATCCCTTTCAGAAAAACCTTTTTAAAAATCCTTTTTCAGAAAAATTTGTTTTTAAAAAATGTTAAAAGCGTTAAAGTACGTACTAATAATAATAAATAAAATAATGAGAATAAAGTAATGCATATTTTATGTTTTATATATTACGTGAGTATTAAAAATGTTAGAATGAGAAATAGCCTGACTAGACTGAGACGGTAGTTTTTTATGTAAAAAAAAAACACGTCAACATTTCCAAATCACCAAATTTTTAAATAAATTTTACAAAATTTTTAAATGAGAATATTGAATTCATAATCTGGAAATTTTTCAATTTAAGCATTATGAATTAGCTCTATCATGCAAGAGTGCATAACTGGAAATTAATGTTTTAAGAATGAGAACTAGACTTTGTCGAATTTCAAAGTTAATAGTCGATTAATTAATAAATTCTTACCGCTTTGTTCACCCAAGAAAACTAATTTAAATTTCCTTAATGGATTTCCGAAATCTCCAGACGTCATGATTTTCTATTAACTAATGTAAATAAGTTAGTTTAAAAAATTTCAAATTTTTCTTTAATGTTAAATGGTAATAAAATAAAAAAAAATATTGAGTCACTGGCTTCAAATTACACTGAATTATATTTGACAACCACTCCTATAAAATGGTTTTTCGAGTGAAGTTTATTTGATGATATGTTGTGCAACTTCAAATTTTATGTTCTGTCAATTTTTCGATAGGGTTCCTTTCTAAATGTAGCATCATATAGGTTTTAAATAAAACTTTAAAACAGTGATTTTCAATTTTTATTGATTCATAAAGTAATTCTGAAATCTAAGTAAAACCATTTAAATGAAAAGTGAGATCTTTATTTATGTGATTTGATAGCTGCCACTATGTGTTTGTCCAAATAATTCTCCTTTCTTTGATTTAATGAATTAGAATTTCCAAAAAGACGTCACTTAATGAGCAGAATTACAAAAAAGACGTCACTCTTATTGTCAAAAAGATATATTGAAATGAAAAATGCACATTTTGCCACTTTATTTGCTTTGAAAACTTTGTTAATTTCATGTATTTTTGTTCATGTCTGGAAAATTATTGTAAATTAACACATTGGTTAAGTTAAAAGCAGAACAATACCGATTTTTCGCTTCAAAATCTGAGGAGAGTTCATATAGAATATACGTATTTAAATGGGACAGGCCACAATCAAGCGTAATTACCCCTGCGAATTTCACCGCCAGTGAATAGCAAAAATCCTATTTTATCGCTGACGTTTTTGTTTTTTTTGACATAATCTTTTTCCACTTGTGTGACATTATGTACGAAACACTGTGCACTTAATTTCGCCATTCTACTGTTGTTTTGGGTTAATAACGAAAATCATCCGCGGTTGTCGTTCGCTACTTTGGTTATGTTCTTACAATTCGCATTACGAAATTAGTTTCATTATAATTTAAAGTTAAAATAAACAATTTTTACAAGCTTATTTAAATATAAGTCATAAAGACTTTTTCGTTACCAGATTATAATTCAATTACTTTTCAATTGAATTGTTTCACAACGAGTTGAAATTTTATTTTCGTCTTCCAAAATGACCTATTGCTATAAGTTTCATCATATGAAATACTTGTTACGCTTATGTAATAAAAAAGTTTTGTACTACGATTATTAATATAATATGTCAAAAATTGTACAATATTATTAACATGTCACAATTTATTTCTGATACAATATGTCAAAGGCGTTTTATATAACATACATATTAAGGTCAAAATATATTGTATTCTACAGTAGCCCCTTTTACGAAACACAATTAAAAATAACTTAGATAAATTTTATTGATATCTTTTTTTAATAATTCTCTAAAAAAACTTTAAAGTATGTGGGAAAATTAGTACGACTTGTCAAAAAATTAAATAACATTTCGTGAAAAAAACACACTCATGAAAAAGTGCTTATCATTTTTAACTAAGATAACCGAGTTAAAATTTAAGTTAGTTGCTGAAGGAACATAATATTGTTGTAACCGCCAAGTTTTTAACCGATTTTCACGCAAAAAAAATTTTTGGTGGATATTTTTCAATATAGGTGAACCCATTTCGATGGCATTCAATTTAAACAGTTATCTTTAAAAATCGTGGTAATCGTAAGGATATACGCATTATCTGTTGAAACTGGCCTGTTCAATGTGCTCTATAAAAAAATATATGGATGAACAAATAGCAAACATACAAATAATCTACTAGTATGGGTTAAGTATAATGTATTTTCTTCCAAGAAAAAAATATCAGTACATATTTTTTATACATAAAACAATAATAAATACTGAAAAAAATTGCAAAAATGCTCCAATGCTCCAATCTATTAATTCGAATTTCATATTCTATAGTTTTTTAAATATTAGTTATAAATTTCAATCACTTCTTTTGCAATTGTCAAGAGTAAAAGAAATTCTAACTTTTAACATATTTTTTATTAAACTCTATAGTATTATGTCAAAATTAGTAGTTGGCGCTTTCGCCATAATTTTCACGCATACTTTTGTCGCGCTGAAATAACATTCTGTTTCAATTAGATGAACATGCCATAAATCGAGTGTAGCTTTCAAAATTTTTCATGGAAACTTAATCATTCTTTCAATTTTCGTTGCAGTTTTTATTCAATCATTTAATAATTAAGGTGTGTTCTTGAAATCCTTATGTTGAAAAATAATTTTTTGTGGTATAAAAAATATTGTTAAAGAAGAATATACATACACATGTATTTCGAATGTGACTAAATAATTTTTTTTTTGTGATGAGAAAATTAATTTGAACAAAAATAAGCTTAGGAATTCTAGGTATTTTTGATAAAATAAAATTTAAGTGATAATATTCTATAAAAAAACGCTCATCTATTATTAATAAAATATCTGGTTATCGTATATAAAAAAGTATATGTATGTTCATTGTAATATCCATTAATATTTTTTTAGAATATAGATATTAAAAAAAATCGACATTAATTACTTTTTGCAAAATGTCAATATGACAGTGACATGAAAGTGTGTGTTGTCAAATCAACTCAGCAAATAAGCACCAATAAAAAAGTACTAGTATATTTTTTTAATTAATTTTGATCAACTCCAAATTTATAAATTATTAATTTTGAAAGTGTTATATTTTTAAATTGTTGGAAATTTAGTAAATACTGATGTAGCAGTCTATATTGAAATTGTTTTAAAAAATCAAAAACAACAACTCAATGGTAAGGGTTTACTGATGCCAAGAAAATTAACCTTATTCCACTAAAGTATACCATATTAAATATTTTATAATGTGTAGGCTTAATTTTTGAAAATTACTAGAAGAAATAAGCGTAACATTTTAATAATTTTACAATATTGAAAATAATTTTAATATTGAAACAATAATATAAGAAATTAAAAATACATACAAAGTAGGTAGGTAAGACTGCCTGCCTTACATCTAAATACAAGTATAACATATGAATATTCAACATCTCAAATTAATCAATAACAATATTATTTCTACAAGGATATATGCAGATATGTTGGCTTTCGTGATTTGTCTATGAACTCTAGTCGAAAATTTTGAGAAAGTATTTTGCTACTTCATACATACGTACATAATATATCATATGTACGTTTTACCTAGGGATATATACCTAGCTATTTTTTAAATAGATAATATAAACGAAAATGTTTAGCAAACATTTTATTAGAATAATTATTAATTAGTAATCATTCTACGTGATGTCTACAAATTCTTTTATTTAAACTGAAAGAGAAAATTGTATAGGTAGGTATACCTACTTTATGCTTATATAATATTATTATGTGTTAGAGTCAACACACCTCTCTGGGCGTCATTATCTGGATTTTGATAATTATATGTACATATGTATGTATGAGATATTTACTCAGATACAAATTTTAAATGGAATAACTATTCATATATCCTCATTAAAAGATATATGAAGAATTTTTATTTTAACACATTTACACATGTTCATCAGTACATTATCTACGTATTTATACAATTAAGCCAATATGTGTATTTTAAAATTATTAAGCGTTTTGCTTAAAATTCTTTGAAAATCATCATGAAATTTGTAGATATCAACATAAATGTTAAGTTTCCGAAAAAATAAGTTAGTAATTTAATGTGAAACGAAAGTAAGTAAAAAATTCCTGAGAAGTAAAGTAATAATTTTATTGAATTAAATAAGTGAAACGATTACAATATTATTTATTAAAATATTTAAGAGTAAATTCCTAATACGTATGTATTTTCACTGTAAAAGATATAAAATATAAAACTAATTAAGACACAACATGAATTGGTGAAAATTTTCATTAAGTATGAGGCAAATGTGCGTTCCGATATTAAATTTAAAAGACGAAAAGGATTAAATAATAATCCTCTAAAATAAAATAGTCCTTTAAAGTTCTATCGCGCTTTTTCTAATAAAAGAATTTAATCCTCGGGTTTTAGAACTCCAATTTTCATAGAAATGTACATGGGTATACAAACCATACTAAAGAAATTAAAATTTAATTTAAGGAGATCAGTTAAATCATTATGTATACCCATATGATATCTAGATTCTAGACAAATGTATATGTATATAATATAGTTTTCTGTATGTAAAATTTAAATGATTATTTATATATATGTACATATGTAGGTATACCTACATTAAAATATTTCCTCCTATAAAATACACGAATTTTTAATTGAATAAGTTAAGCCATTTATCTACAAAAAATATATAATGTTTTCCTACTTAGTTAGGTGTTTCAATTGAAAATTTTGCAATCATAATTTTGTTTGTTTCGGAATAAAAAATCACTTATTTACTTAACTTAACGTCATACGTCTCACATATTATATTCACACTTACATAAATATCTGGGGCATCATCAATGAAAAGCTTTTTTTTTGTTTTTTCTTTTCTTATTTTTTTTTTATTAATATTTTCACTAATAGCAATATAAATTGAAATGATTATATTATGTATGATAGTTGCTTCATTATGTTATATGTCCATATAATAATAATTTATATATGTTATTGCTATAAGTAGCACATAATTTCCATTTTAAAATAAACTAAAAATATTTACATACATTTCTATTTATTACATTTCCAAATATAGTGGGACAATTTCCTCATTAATGTTTAGCTTCCATAAAATTTTTGTAGAGAGATATAGATATATTTTAAATCAAATGGATGCACGATATACTTTTGATTTTTAGAATCATTTCCAGGAATAAAACCCCAAACATAATAATACGCAGCAGTACATTTATGATTTTGCTATTAAAAGCATTAGAGAGGCAATTTTGTACTTGATACTTTCAATTTTATAAATAAAACTTTATTGAATTTGAATTTTAATATTGTATGCTGAAATATTTGATTTATTTTGTTTTCTTTTTTACATTCAATGTAAATCCTTAAATAGTTTTTGCACAGTAAATATTTCTTTTCTTACTTATGTATGTAGGTATAATTTTATAGCTTTTGGGAATAGCTACAAAATTTTAAAAATGCAATTGCTTATATTCGAATTTAATTGAATATTTAGATAAAAAATCATATTTATATTTTTAATAATGAAAATTTTCACATTCTCTTTCATTTTCAATATTTTGCCATAATTTCTAATTTGTAAGATAAGAATCAAAAACATAACTGATGTTTGTGTTTTATTGAATTGATTTAACTTCTTAAAATTTACATACATATATAGTTATGTACGATTTTGAGAACAAATATGAAATTCTAAATAAGAAAAATAAAAACTGAAAGCATTTAAACGGTTCTAAGCTATTTTCGATAGTAATAATTGATAACAATTACTTTAATATTTTTTACGTTTAATGTGGATATTATAAGATGTAAAAGTAGGTTCTTTCCCATTACATCAAATGCGTTCAAGTTACGTTAGTCATGAATTCCAAAGCGGTATAACGTACGCATTATGAATTTCAGTATGCGTTGCTAACGCAACTGATTAGTATTTTAGTTTATTTCTTGCATTTCTTTAAAACTTTATGCATAAGTGATTTTTATACATATGTGACAAAACGAATGGTAAAGAAAACATTTTAATTATGAAATTTGATTTTTTTTGCTTTGTTAAAGTAATTTTTAAAATGTCATTTGAGAAAATTGCTTAACTGCAGATGATTTTAATTTGCAAAATCAAACGAATAACGTGATAATCATGACGTGATTATTAAATCTTGGACATATGTATGTACATGGAAAAGGTCGTATACTTCAAATGTGTTTATACAAAATTTATTTGGTATGACTCACATTCAATAATTTAAAAATTGAAAATGAAATTTCATACGTCTATACATATACATATATACGTATGCTTGTATTCGTTAACATATACTTATTTAATCGCTTAAAAATGAATACTAAAAAAATTGTAAAATCATGAAAAAAGAATCAAAAAATTAAAAGAAGTTTTTTTTTGTTTCATAAAATTTAAAACACAACGACGAAAATTTATAAAAAAATATTTCAAGAATTTACAAAAAAAAATAAGAAAAAATGTTGTTTTTTTTAAAGACCGTGTGAAAGGATGTTTTTTATTTCTCTTTGTTTATTTTCAAATATCACTTGTTGATTAACACCTGTAAGAGCATGTTGTTAAATTTTTCTCCTTTATGTGTATTTTATTCTCACGTAAAACTTCATTAAAATTTGATATCCTTTTACTATAGTTTTTCTCTCTGTCCTTATCAATTTATTTTTTCATTTTTTGCTCTTTTTTCCATTTAAAATAACATTCATCCAGAATTTACACATGTATGTATATGTAATAATTACACATACTATTTATTTACAAAGGTGAATAAGAGAATTTACTCAAAAGTACAGAAAAATTATGTGAAGTAGAAAGAAGAAAAAAAAGTTTTAGTAAAAGTAAAATGGAATATGGTAATAATTATATTTTTTGTCTAAATTAAGTACCTACCTTATAGTTTTGTTAAATATTCAAGAAGCAGACACATTACATATATTATACATAAAAAGAAAGTGAAATAATTAAGGGCTCATAATATGTATGGAATATGTGAAAAATATATAGTTTTTGTCAATATACTTTGATTTTTTTCTTTTCGTTGTTCTTATTAGCCCTATAAATTTTTTCATTCGAGAACATATGCTACATGGTAACAGATAACGTAACGTAATACAACGTAAGAAATTAATTTTTAGTTGTATTTTGGCTTACTGTTAAAGTTTAGTAGGAGTCGACGTTATCAAAAAGGCCAAAATATTAATTTCAAAAAATTTAATTTTTAAATTGTCTTGTACTCTTCTATTTTGGTTAAAAATTTTGGAAAAAACATTTTTCAAAAAATTTATTTTCGAATAGTATTTAATATATTTAATATGTCCCAGAAAAATTTGGTTTCGCTTTTCTTTTGTGGGCTGTGTCTAGGGATTTTTTCTCTCTTTTTCTTCCACTTTTTCTTTTCGAAAATGAAAACATGTAAACTGTGAAGGTCGTTCGTTATATGTTTACATACAATGAACTGTAAATAATAAACATTTTCCGTTGTAATTATTAGAAAAGTTAAAAATTTACAAGGAAAACATATGAAATTATTGAATCGAAAAAGTGGTCGTTTAGAAGTACTTAACGTTTTGTAATGAAAATGGAAAGAAAAACATTTATTTCCTTATTTTGTATTTCCTTAGAAATATTGATTTTTGATTAATTTTGTTCAAGTATGAGAGCTAGTAGCATTTTTCGGATACCAAGTATATTTTTCTACCAAAAAATGTATTTAAAAGTATGTGAAGAATTCGATTATTAATCTTTGATCTAAAATCTAGCTAAAAGAATAAATATTCAAATTATAATAACCAATTATACTAGTATACCTTAATGCAAATAAAAATTAATATAGTTAAACCTTTTTTAAGTTTCTAAGTGATTTTCCTGTAATTTTCGTTTCAGTTCCGAAAAACATTACAATAAAATTTCTTAAAAAAAAAATTTTTGTTTGTGATCAAAAAAAAAAGAAAAATAAGTAAATTAAATTGTGCGAAACAATAAAAAACTTGCGTAACAACGAAAACACGAATCTATTTCTGTAATTATATTTACAAAAAATTTAATAATAAAAAAAAGATCAAAACTAAACAAAAGAATATATACGAAATATTTATCTTAAATGAAATCAAAAAGTCTCAAATCAAGTAACGGAGGATCATTTCGTACTACACAATGGGATCCAGTGTTATTAATCAGTCAAATAATTGCAATGCAATCTATATTGTATTTTACATTAGCCCTTCTTATGTCTGTAATGGATGTTTTAGCGGGAGCAAATCATACATTAGACAACATACTCAAATATCATGTAAGTACTTTCTATAAAATTTTTATTTTTTTATATAAGATTAACCGCTTAAATAATAAAAATATCAAAGTATATTATGTATATTTGAATTGTATATATATATATATACTTAATAATAGAAACATATATATATATATATATATATATATGCACATACATATGTTCAAAATAGAGTAAATTAGAATATAAGAGACACAATTATTTAAGAACATATAACAATCAATTCAAGTTTAAGAGAAATTCAGGCTATAAGAAGTTCGAGTAAATTTTGTTTGTATTAACATATTCTAACATACCCAAAATGTACAAGAGTAAGGTAGACTTTTATAAGTGTTACTTATTTCATATTACATTATATTATTTATTTATAAGTTTATTTTTCTGTTTACTCGTGATCAAAATTTGAGATGTATCAAATCCAAAAATTTGAGATGTAAGTATCTAGATGTAAGGTAAAAGCTTCATTAAATAGTTAAATTCTAAGACTTTAAATAGAAATGATATCGAAAATATTATGAAGTTTTTTCAAATCTTTGCTATTAAATTTACCTTAACATGAGTTTATTTTGGTTGTGTCACACTCAGATTGATCCACTTTTGGAATATGTTAAATTGGTTTTACATTTTTGCCCATATAATATATGGGCAATTTAATATATAAATTCATATGTGGCCTGATATTTTGCATTTTGTACCATATTTAATTGACGGAATTTTTCGAAATTTAATATTTGAGTTCTGCTGCTACTGGAAGTAACTAAGAAATTTTCAGGGAATTCGAACGGCGTAAAGGAAAACAAAACTTTATTATTCTAGGTACGTAGCAATACACCTGGTGGTCGGTCATGTGATTTTTTAATAAGGCAACAAAGTTATCTAAATGAAAGAAATTTAAATTTAGTATTTTAATCAGAAATATGAATTATGTGACAATTATGAAGGAAGTAACGCTTGTAAAACCGAAACTTGGAAATCTTTTTATTGAAGCATAATTTCTTTATTTAAAAAACCTTTAAAGCAAACTACTTATTTTGGTTTCCTTTATTCCCCCGTTTTAAATGGTAAACCCTTCTTAATCATTATTACTTTTGTTAGCTTTTTATTTTATTTCCTTTTATTTTTTGTTCTTTTATATTTATTTTAAAGGGAATCACTTACTTTAAATAGAAATAAATTTTTTTTATTTGTTTATTTGATTATGAATCGAAAGAAAAAAATTTTTGAAGAATATTTTTCGCTATGGTTTTTTTTTCGTTTTTCTTTATGATTTAAGTGTTATGGTTTTTAGAATTTTTTTAAAGATAATATTATATGAACTTCAAAAAAAAAAAAAAAATTTTTTTGTTATTAAAGTAATGAAGTCTAAATAAAAGTCCAAGGAGTGTCGGATAGGAGGAATGAAAATTTAATGCTAATAAAGTTGTATTTTTTTTTAATTTAACGTATGTGTATGTGTATATATATACATATATACAATTATACAAATACTCTGCTCGTTTTTTGTGAGAAATGAAAAATGATAATGCCAATCATTCATTTTTTTTTATATAAAAATTTTCGTTGTTTTATATAGGCATACACATGTATATAATATATAATATATGAACATATATGTGCGAAGAAAGATGGTGGCCTTAAATTATCTAATCTTTATTAGGTGCAGTCAAAATAAGGCAACTAAATAATTCTTTAAATATAATATGCACATATTTGGTTTTAACTTAAATGTCGAAAATTAAAGTTGAATTTGCTTATTTATATATTAAAAAGAATTAAATGATATTATAGATGAAAATTTTATTTAAAATTTTCGGATATACACATGCATACACACAAAATTCTGAAATAATATCAATACTTAAGTAACATATGTATGTTTGTATACGGATTTTTTTATTCGTTTTTAAAACTATTGATTACTTTAATGTATAATTATTTTATATAATTATCACTAACTTTACATAAATTTTACAGAAATGACGCAATACAATAATAATTTTAATAATGAATGCAATTAGAATTTATTTTCATATTAATAGGAATAGAGTTGGGTCAAACCAATGGTTTGTATTGTAGCACTTTTCTCTTCAACAAGTGAAAATATTGCTTTTAAAAACCCTATATGTTTTACCTATATACCTGTTACACTATTACTTTCATTCGTAAACGAAACTACTTTAAGGATTGCATACATTTAGGATGAACGATTTATGCCGTCTTTGAATTAAAGCAAAGATAAATTTAAAGAGGGGCTAACATAATGCTCGATTATGTAGTGATATGCTGTGAGTTAGGAAACCTAATTATATTTTTTATTGGCATCGAATTTACCGTTAGCTTTCTGCTTTTACAGAAAGTTGCAAAAGCTTGTGGTTTGGCAAATGTAAGGTACCAAAAATTCAAATTTTACAAGTTTCGTGAGGCGATAACTTGAGAGGGGGTGGAGATGTTAAAAAAATTTCTTCTAATGAAATGAACTATTTATTAGTGTATAAAAGCTGTTAAAATTTTATACTTTTACAACCTGAGGTCCAAAAGAAAAATGACCATTTGTTTAACGGTCATTTTGTTTTTTCATAGATCAAGTATGGTATGTCGCGGTAAAAAACCACCCACTATATTTCTACCTTTGCAAAATTTAAACAATGCCTATGGTTTCACTGCAATAAATAGTTAAAAAATGGCATTTCTATGGTTTTGTATAGGGGGAGGGGCAGTTAGGTAAAAATTTTCTTCTATGGAAATAAGTTCCTAATACATATAAAATTTCAGTTTTCTATCTTCAAGGATGTACAAGTTTTGTAAACAGACACTTGGATAGACAGTCGAATGGACAGAGTGAAACTTATAAGTACCTTTTCTCAAAATTTTTTTGGAAAAGTGCTAAGAACATCATAAGAGTTTCTTAAACTTAGAACATTTATTGTATTTAGTTTGTAAAGGGTATGAATATTATTTATATTTAAAAGACAATCTTTATGTTTCGTCATTTTGGAGAGAAATTAACCTAAATATTATCGTTATTTAAGTTTTATATGAATAGAATATGATGTATGTAAGTGTATAGTTTAACAAATTTTTCAAGACCTTATCATTCAATTTTAAATATTAAAATTCTAATTATTCTACATATGTATATATATTTAAAGTCAGACCGATATATACATATATACTAAACACATAACATATGCAGACGGATTACACATTTTATTCCTACAATTTTCTTGCAATTGCAATGTACTTATATAAGTACTTATAGTAAGAAATTTACTATAAAATAAAAATTTTATATCGCTATGCAAGTGTATAACAAAGATTTAATAAATTTTGACAAAGTTATATAAAAATAGAAAAATATTTAAATGAGAACTCAAAAATTTGGTATTTATTTCTAAAGGCTACTTCGTTAAGTTTAACGAAATAAAAATATAAAAATTCAATGCTAGAGGTGGCTTATGTTAAAAAATAGTTAAATTTGCTACATTTTAAATTGTAGATTTTTCTATGTAAACACGTATACTACGAGTACACACATAATATGAAAATAAACTTTAATAAATTCTTGTTGGACCATATTTCTGTAATTATATGTCTTCCTATAATGTCCGTATAATGTATACAATATGTTTGTAATTTGTGCTACTATTATAAGATTTAAACAAAAAACTGAACTCGCCAGTAAATAAAAAAATAGGACAAAAAATTCCTGATTATTGATTTCGAAATTCTTTTAATTATTTTTTTCGTAAAAATAAATTACCGTCATCAGTAAATATCATTTAAGCATATTCTTGAGGAACTCTAAATTTGTTGCTGTAAATTATATTTTTTTTAAAGTAGTAGATTTGCAACGAGGTTTACTTTTAGATTACATTTTTGATTTTTTTTACTTATACACCACAATACTTATGCTCAATTATATTCAGTGTGCTTTAATTGAGTCAAATATTAGAGAGATTATTGAGTAATATAGAAAAAATTTTTTAAATTAAATGTATATTCAAAAGTTCTAATTCTAAATGCAATGCTAATTTTTGTTTTGTTTTTGTTATTTTAAGTTTTTCTTTTAAAAATTCTCGAACGTCATTTATCAAGTGAGAATTAATTATTTTTCATGTCGCAAGTATTTTATATTTTTATATTTTATTGTGCATACATTAATTAACCTTGGTATCAATTTAAAAACACTAATGTTAAATAACCATAATTATTTAGTTCATAAATAAAAAAATAAAAGTAAATAAATGTGTTTACACTGAAATTTTAATAGACATGAAATTCATAATTCTTTTAAAATTCGTTGAACTGTATAAAAATGAGTTTTGCTTTTGTTGGAGTATACAGCTGGCCGATTAGTTTGAAAAATTTTATCTTAAGTAATTGCATAACACATATGTACATAATTCCATAATTACTTTTGGAATTTTTTTTCAGAAAATATAAGAAATACTTAATTTTTTGCATTAAATTCGAAAATTTTTTGAACGCTACAACGAATGCTTTTGAAATATTCTACTGTTTTGACCAATGTTTTTGATCATAACTTTTAGTATTAGTAGAAAACTTCTGTAAATTTACAGAACAAGGTAAAAGAACAGAAGAAAAAAACCACAAGTATAAATTATTAAAATTAAATTTTAATAACAAATAATTTTTTGTTTACATTTGTTTTTATTTATTTTAGAATTCATTTTGTTTTCCAAACAATTTTTAAAATAAACAATTTCGTTGTTTAATTTTTAAGTTTCAATTTTGTCTAAAATTGTTAAACTTTTTTTTTATCAATAGGGGCGATAATTTGTATTATTTTTAATTATTAAATACAGTAAGTAAACTAATTTTTATAGTATACATATTTTGTATTTGGGAATCCAATTTTTTTTCAAAAAATGATATTCGGAATTCCGGTATAATTCCGGTGTTATCGCAAAGAAAATTTAAAAGGAAAAAAATATGTAGGTTTAAAAAACAAAACCAACTCACTGAGAAAAAATAAAATA